TACATAGCCTCCCAGAGGCTTCAGGGTGTGTGTGTGGAGATGACTTACCCTGCTTATAACCTGTGCTAGTTCTCTCATCTCACTGCTGTACCCTACATAGCCTCCCAGAGGCTTCAGGTGTGTGTGGGGACGACTTACCCTGCTTATAACCTGTGCTAGTTCTCTCATCTCACTGCTGTACCCAATATAGCCTCCCAGAGGCTTCAGGGGTGTGTGTGGAGATGACTTACCCTGCTTATAACCTGTGCCAGTTCTCTCATCTCACTGCTGTAACCAATATAGCCTCCCAGAGGCTTCAGGTGTGTGTGTGGGGACGACTTACCCTGCTTATAACCTGTGCCAGTTCTCTCATCTCACTGCTGTACCCTACTACATAGCCTCCCAGAGGCTTCAGGGTGTGTGTGGGGACGACTTACCCTGCTTATAACCTGTGCTAGTTCTCTCATCTCACTGCTGTACCCAATATAGCCTCCCAGAGGCTTCAGGGGTGTGTGTGGAGATGACTTACCCTGCTTATAACCTGTGCCAGTTCTCTCATCTCACTGCTGTACCCAATATAGCCTCCCAGAGGCTTCAGGTGTGTGTGGGGACGACTTACCCTGCTTATAACCTGTGCTAGTTCTCTCATCTCACTGCTGTACCCAATATAGCCTCCCAGAGGCTTCAGGGTGTGTGTGTGGAGATGACTTACCCTGCTTATAACCTGTGCTAGTTCTCTCATCTCACTGCTGTACCCAATATAGCCTCCCAGAGGCTTCAGGTGTGTGTGTGGAGATGACTTACCCTGCTTATAACCTGTGCTAGTTCTCTCATCTCACTGCTGTACCCTACATAGCCTCCCAGAGGCTTCAGGTGTGTGTGTGGAGATGACTTACCCTGCTTATAACCTGTGCCAGTTCTCTCATCTCACTGCTGTACCCTACATAGCCTCCCAGAGGCTTCAGGTGTGTGTGGGGACGACTTACCCTGCTTATAACCTGTGCTAGTTCTCTCATCTCACTGCTGTACCCAATATAGCCTCCCAGAGGCTTCAGGGTGTGTGTGGAGATGACTTACCCTGCTTATAACCTGTGCCAGTTCTCTCATCTCACTGCTGTACCCTACATAGCCTCCCAGAGGCTTCAGGTGTGTGTGGGGACGACTTACCCTGCTTATAACCTGTGCTAGTTCTCTCATCTCACTGCTGTACCCTACATAGCCTCCCAGAGGCTTCAGGGTGTGTGTGGAGATGACTTACCCTGCTTATAACCTGTGCTAGTTCTCTCATCTCACTGCTGTACCCAATATAGCCTCCCAGAGGCTTCAGGTGTGTGTGTGGGGATGACTTACCCTGCTTATAACCTGTGCTAGTTCTCTCATCTCACTGCTGTACCCAATATAGCCTCCCAGAGGCTTCAGGTGTGTGTGTGGAGATGACTTACCCTGCTTATAACCTGTGCTAGTTCTCTCATCTCACTGCTGTACCCAATATAGCCTCCCAGAGGCTTCAGGTGTGTGTGTGGAGATGACTTACCCTGCTTATAACCTGTGCTAGTTCTCTCATCTCACTGCTGTACCCTACATAGCCTCCCAGAGGCTTCAGGGGTGTGTGTGGAGATGACTTACCCTGCTTATAACCTGTGCCAGTTCTCTCATCTCACTGCTGTACCCTACATAGCCTCCCAGAGGCTTCAGGGGTGTGTGTGGAGATGACTTACCCTGCTTATAACCTGTGCTAGTTCTCTCATCTCACTGCTGTACCCAATATAGCCTCCCAGAGGCTTCAGGTGTGTGTGTGGAGATGACTTACCCTGCTTATAACCTGTGCCAGTTCTCTCATCTCACTGCTGTACCCAATATAGCCTCCCAGAGGCTTCAGGGGTGTGTGTGGAGATGACTTACCCTGCTTATAACCTGTGCTAGTTCTCTCATCTCACTGCTGTACCCTACATAGCCTCCCAGAGGCTTCAGGGGTGTGTGTGTGGAGATGACTTACCCTGCTTATAACCTGTGCTAGTTCTCTCATCTCACTGCTGTACCCAATATAGCCTCCCAGAGGCTTCAGGTGTGTGTGGGGACGACTTACCCTGCTTATAACCGGTGCTAGTTCTCTCATCTCACTGCTGTACCCAATATAGCCTCCCAGAGGCTTCAGGTGTGTGTGGGGACGACTTACCCTGCTTATAACCTGTGCTAGTTCTCTCATCTCACTGCTGTACCCAATATAGCCTCCCAGAGGCTTCAGGGGTGTGTGTGGAGATGACTTACCCTGCTTATAACCTGTGCCAGTTCTCTCATCTCACTGCTGTAACCAATATAGCCTCCCAGAGGCTTCAGGTGTGTGTGTGGGGACGACTTACCCTGCTTATAACCTGTGCCAGTTCTCTCATCTCACTGCTGTACCCTACATAGCCTCCCAGAGGCTTCAGGGGTGTGTGGGGACGACTTACCCTGCTTATAACCTGTGCTAGTTCTCTCATCTCACTGCTGTACCCAATATAGCCTCCCAGAGGCTTCAGGGGTGTGTGTGGAGATGACTTACCCTGCTTATAACCTGTGCCAGTTCTCTCATCTCACTGCTGTACCCTACATAGCCTCCCAGAGGCTTCAGGTGTGTGTGGGGACGACTTACCCTGCTTATAACCTGTGCTAGTTCTCTCATCTCACTGCTGTACCCTACATAGCCTCCCAGAGGCTTCAGGGTGTGTGTGTGGAGATGACTTACCCTGCTTATAACCTGTGCTAGTTCTCTCATCTCACTGCTGTACCCTACATAGCCTCCCAGAGGCTTCAGGGGTGTGTGTGGAGATGACTTACCCTGCTTATAACCGGTGCTAGTTCTCTCATCTCACTGCTGTACCCAATATAGCCTCCCAGAGGCTTCAGGTGTGTGTGGGGACGACTTACCCTGCTTGTAACCTGTGCTAGTTCTCTCATCTCACTGCTGTACCCAATATAGCCTCCCAGAGGCTTCAGGTGTGTGTGTGGAGATGACTTACCCTGCTTATAACCTGTGCTAGTTCTCTCATCTCACTGCTGTACCCAATATAGCCTCCCAGAGGCTTCAGGTGTGTGTGTGGAGATGACTTACCCTGCTTATAACCTGTGCTAGTTCTCTCATCTCACTGCTGTACCCTACATTGCCTCCCAGAGGCTTCAGGTGTGTGTGGGGACGACTTACCCTGCTTATAACCTGTGCTAGTTCTCTCATCTCACTGCTGTACCCAATATAGCCTCCCAGAGGCTTCAGGGGTGTGTGGGGACGACTTACCCTGCTTATAACCTGTGCTAGTTCTCTCATCTCACTGCTGTACCCTACATAGCCTCCCAGAGGCTTCAGGGGTGTGTGGGGACGACTTACCCTGCTTATAACCTGTGCTAGTTCTCTCATCTCACTGCTGTACCCTACATAGCCTCCCAGAGGCTTCAGGTGTGTGTGTGTGGAGATGACTTACCCTGCTTATAACCTGTGCTAGTTCTCTCATTTCACTGCTGTACCCAATATAGCCTCCCAGAGGCTTCAGGGGTGTGTGTGGAGATGACTTACCCTGCTTATAACCTGTGCTAGTTCTCTCATCTCACTGCTGTGCTAGTTCCTACATAGCCTCCCAGAGGCTTCAGGGGTGTGTGTGTGGAGATGACTTACCCTGCTTATAACCTGTGCCAGTTCTCTCATCTCACTGCTGTACCCTACATAGCCTCCCAGAGGCTTCAGGGGTGTGTGTGGAGATGACTTACCCTGCTTATAACCTGTGCTAGTTCTCTCATCTCACTGCTGTACCCAATATAGCCTCCCAGAGGCTTCAGGGTGTGTGTGTGTGGAGATGACTTACCCTGCTTATAACCTGTGCCAGTTCTCTCATCTCACTGCTGTACCCAATATAGCCTCCCAGAGGCTTCAGGGGTGTGTGTGGAGATGACTTACCCTGCTTATAACCTGTGCCAGTTCTCTCATCTCACTGCTGTACCCTACATTGCCTCCCAGAGGCTTCAGGGGTGTGTGTGGAGATGACTTACCCTGCTTATAACCTGTGCTAGTTCTCTCATCTCACTGCTGTACCCTACATAGCCTCCCAGAGGCTTCAGGTGTGTGTGTGGGGACGACTTACCCTGCTTATAACCTGTGCTAGTTCTCTCATCTCACTGCTGTACCCAATATAGCCTCCCAGAGGCTTCAGGTGTGTGTGGGGACGACTTACCCTGCTTATAACCTGTGCTAGTTCTCTCATCTCACTGCTGTACCCAATATAGCCTCCCAGAGGCTTCAGGTGTGTGTGTGGAGATGACTTACCCTGCTTATAACCTGTGCTAGTTCTCTCATCTCACTGCTGTACCCAATATAGCCTCCCAGAGGCTTCAGGTGTGTGTGGGGACGACTTACCCTGCTTATAACCTGTGCTAGTTCTCTCATCTCACTGCTGTACCCTACATTGCCTCCCAGAGGCTTCAGGTGTGTGTGGGGACGACTTACCCTGCTTATAACCGGTGCTAGTTCTCTCATCTCACTGCTGTACCCAATATAGCCTCCCAGAGGCTTCAGGTGTGTGTGTGGGGACGACTTACCCTGCTTATAACCTGTGCTAGTTCTCTCATCTCACTGCTGTACCCTACATAGCCTCCCAGAGGCTTCAGGGGTGTGTGTGGAGATGACTTACCCTGCTTATAACCTGTGCTAGTTCTCTCATCTCACTGCTGTACCCTACATAGCCTCCCAGAGGCTTTAGGGGTGTGTGTGGAGACGACTTACCCTGCTTATAACCTGTGCTAGTTCTCTCATCTCACTGCTGTACCCAATATAGCCTCCCAGAGGCTTCAGGGGTGTGTGTGGAGATGACTTACCCTGCTTATAACCTGTGCCAGTTCTCTCATCACACTGCTGTACCCAATATAGCCTCCCAGAGGCTTCAGGGGTGTGTGGGGACGACTTACCCTGCTTATAACCTGTGCTAGTTCTCTCATCTCACTGCTGTACCCTACATAGCCTCCCAGAGGCTTCAGGGGTGTGTGTGGAGATGACTTACCCTGCTTATAACCTGTGCTAGTTCTCTCATCTCACTGCTGTACCCTACATAGCCTCCCAGAGGCTTCATCAGCCGGTCCTGGAAACAAAGATACAATTACAAACAATATCGATGTACTTTGGGTCAAATTATGAAAAATGCAGATGTGATAATCAAAGTAACTGTCAGCATCCATCTAACATAAACATATGAATTCTCCTCTCTTATATTGTAAACAAATCATTCTGCAACAAGAGGGGAAGGGTCAAGTCTGTTATATACAGTCAAATCCTGATGAGTCGAATGCCGGTGTCTCGAATATTATGCATAACTCGAAGTACCTGTCGGTCCCAACCATTCCCTTATATAGTTGTCATCATTTGAATACCGGTTACACGAATTCGTCTCATAAATACACACACTGACTCGAGAAGGAAATTTGGTCCCATGAGATTCAAACAGTAATCTTGTATACATAAGCCGAAGTCAGTCAATGAGAAGTTGATTGGTGTAGCAAACTGATCCAATTAACAAACCAGCGCGGCTCACACCTTTCCGCCATTGACGGCTGAGTTCAAAAGGCAGACTAGTGGTTTTACGGAAATCACTGTCTGTGCTAATCAGACTGGAACTGATAAGGTGTCCCTATTAGTGATAGGGAAATCATTAGATAAACAAATGCTTAGGCGAAAGAAATAGGACTGGATCATCTTTTTTTCTACCCTCATATACATACCTATGTCTCGAATACATCGATAAGTCGAATTTATTACTTGGTCCCCAGCGATTCGGCTCATCGGGATTTGACTGTATTTGGTTTTGAAATTGACATATTAAGAAAAGAGTCTTCATATACCATGTACCTAAAGTGAATTTTTAAGGTATTTGAGCATGAACCTTCATCAGTGTCACTGAATGCATTATCTCAGGGTCACCAAACCTGAACACAACAATGATTACAAAATAAATAATCAAGATAACATCGTATCATTTTAGTCTTATCGTGCACTTACATTTGAATCAATCCCCTCTTCAACATTGAGCTTTGTAGCATCATTTATCATAGATCGAATATCAATGATTTGTCCTCCCTGAATAAAAAGAACAATGATACACCGGAATAAAATTTAATACGACAAACTCGTCAAAATTTCAACTACATGAAATGGGTTGTAAATAAGTGAGTCTGGTCCAGACAATCCAGTGATAAATATTGTGAGAAACAATCCATGTCATTTGTGTACAATGTCAAGCAAACAAACACCTCATCTGTGTACAATGTCAAGCAAACAACCACATCATCTGTGTACAATGTCAAGAAAACAACCACGTCATCTGTGTACAATGTCAAGCAAACAACCACGTCATCTGTGTACAATGTCAAGCAAACAACCACGTCATCTGTGTACAATGTCAAGCAAACAACCACGTCATCTGTGTACAATGTCAAGCAAACAATCCATGTCATCTGTGTACAATGTCAAGCAAACAATCCATGTCATCTGTGTACAATGTCAAGCAAACAACCACGTCATCTGTGTACAATGTCAAGCAAACAATCCATGTCATTTGTGTACAATGTCAAGCAAACAACCACATCATCTGTGTACAATGTCAAGCAAACAATCCATGTCATCTGTGTACAATGTCAAGCAAACAATCCAGGTCATCTGTGTACAATGTCAAGCAAACAACCACGTCATTTGTGTACAATGTCAAGCAAACAACCACGTCATCTGTGTACAATGTCAAGCAAACAATCCATGTCATCTGTGTACAATGTCAAGCAAACAACCACGTCATCTGTGTACAATGTCAAGCAAACAATCCATGTCATTTGTGTACAATGTCAAGCAAACAACCACGTCATCTGTGTACAATGTCAAGCAAACAACCACGTCATCTGTGTACAATGTCAAGCAAACAACCACTTCATCTGTGTACAATGTCAAGCAAACAACCACGTCATCTGTGTACAATGTCAAGCAAACAACCACTTCATCTGTGTACAATGTCAAGCAAACAAACACGTCATCTGTGTACAATGTCAAGCAAACAACCACTTCATCTGTGTACAATGTCAAGCAAACAACCACGTCATCTGTGTACAATGTCAAGCAAACAACCACGTCATCTGTGTACAATGTCAAGCAAACAACCACTTCATCTGTGTACAATGTCAAGCAAACAACCACGTCATCTGTGTACAATGTCAAGCAAACAACCACTTCATCTGTGTACAATGTCAAGCAAACAATCCATGTCATTTACATGTGTACAAAGCCAAGTAATCTACCATGTCACTGTTCCTGATATCTGTCTTTAATTGATCAAATATGGACCAGACAATTCAATGACTGATATCACGAGCATCAACCTACACAATTGGGAAATCAATCAAGAAACCAAACCTGAAAGCTTGAATGTTGTATTAACCTATATACAGACGCATGCCAGTTATATTCAGACACTTTTCCAAGATGGTGACTTTGTTTACATTCCACTCAAATTTTGAACAGGAGATAAATACTTGATGCCTAGCTCTGATATTTTGTCAAATGGCCTTACACATTAAGTACTTCTCTGATCCTCCTTGGAATGTTCTCGCACAGACTTTGAATGTACTCTACAGACAGTGATTGCCAGGCACTGCAAAGTTCGTCAAAAAGTTCATCAGTTGAGATATCCTGATTGCAATTTTCTAGTGATCCACTTTCAGCCAAATATCCTCAATTTTATTTACATCAGGTGATTGTGCCGGCCAATCCAGCAACTTGATATCATATTCTTGCATGAAGGTTTTGGTAAGGAGAGCTGGATGAATGGGCACATTGACATCTTGGAAAATTTGTAAATTTTAACTATAAATTGTATATTTATATACTTATCCTATCTCACGACTTGCACCTCTCTCTCTTCATTCAACCATGAGTGGAAACGAATTAAAACTTTGCTCCAGGCCTACCTTGTCCCTGTCCCCGTGCTGTGCGTGCCTTCCTGCCTCAGTCATGCTCACTAGTCCGTGACAGCACGAGGCATGCGCAGTCCTCACCCACGTGATCACCTCACATACTCATTCTCGATCTTGGAGCCATAAAAGGACAAAACCGGAACGGTGGTAATCTAGGTAGTGGGGAGGTAGGGTGGGACTTTATCGCGTGAGATAGGATAAGTATATAAATATACAATTTATAGTTAAAATTTACAAATTTTTAAACTTATCCTATCTCACGACTTGCACTTATCCCACGGTAGGAAGGTGGGTCATAGATTACCCGAAGTTCAAGCAATAACAGCTAGGCGTTATGCTAAAACAACCGTAGGAAGCAACTACAAGGCAGGCCAATAACTACCAAAGTTACTACGTGTGAGGGTTAGTTCGAACCCATTGACTTACTAAGCACAAGTGCTCCCAGGGACAGGGATTCCCGAGCAATGTGGTGTTCAGTCACTACCTTCACAAAGTCAAAGGACGCAGCTTAGCAAGTGTAATCAGTCGCATCGCCATGATTTCCAAGGTACCCCCGTAATAAAAGTCTAACGACTAGTATCAGGCCAGCCCCTGCTTCGAAACAACCCTCACAGACACCGTCCCGAGGAGGGTGAAAGGGTAATTGAATCGGAAAACTCACAATTTTAACGTTCAGTACCACAACATCATCTTATGGCTTCCACTACTTACCACAGTAAGATCACATAGATGTGTATAGGTACTTAGGAGCAGGAACGCTACGAAGTGTAACACTTCGGGAATGACTCACTTCACTGACTTAATTACTCCGTGGAGCAGAGGACAGTAAGTGAGGTGGCGACTCTCCAGAGTCTCAAAACAAATGAGAGGAGAAATCTAAATCCCGGAAGAAACAAAGACGCAAATCAGAAATAAGTTTCAGATTTATTCAGATTGTACACAAGCAGAAAACGATCGCGACTTGGGATCAACTGCACAAATGGGATCCATATAGCATCGTAGCACCAGGAAGTTCATTATCTGCGATGTTGTGCCGCTGACAACTGCTGGGCAAGGATGAGTGGTCCAAACTGATGAAGGCCTTGAAAATCCGTCACCGACACATCTCTGAGGTAATGAGACGAAAATACAGTGTCAGATCGCCAAAACAACCCTCCATTATGGCAGTTAACGAGCAGTTGCTATGCAACGCCATAGTAGAAGCCAATGCCCTGGTTTCATGAGGGTTGGATGCCGTAGGTGGTGGCAAACCGGCAAAAGTGTAGGCTCGTAGTATTGTAGCTCGTAGCCAATATGAGAGTGCAGCGAGAGACTTCGCCTTGGAAGCAGTAGACAAGGGTATAAACAGTCTCTTACGCATGAAACAGCGGCGCCTGCGCGATGCTTTTAAGGAAAATGCGAAGTGCTCTAACTGGACAGAGAGACAGATCTTCGACATCTTCTGGACCCAATATAGTAGACAAAGGCGGGATTGTAAAAAGACGATCAGGTTGACCCGGCAACTGTTTTTTTGTGACAAAATCCCAGCGTAATCCCCAAAATACCTTGCCATGTCTACCCTGTTAAAAACGGACACGGTTGACATCTAGAGCATGAAGTTCTGATATTCGTGCCGCCGTGGCCAAGGCAATCAGAAAAAAGGTCTTGAACGAAACCTGTTCAAAATCCTTGTCCTGTAAGGGTTCATAATGCTCGGACGCTAAGTGGGCGAAGGACCACGGATAAGTCCCAAGCTGGTGGACGAAATTTCCTGGATTGGTCGGCTAGCTTAAAAGATCGAAGCAAGTACTGCAGTTCCAGTACCGTCGAAACCTTCGTACCAGAAGTCGTGGCTAAGACCGAATTAATAGCCGCCAAGTAGGTGGCTAAAGTGGAACCCTTGAGTTTCCTTGTAGCCCGTAAGTGTTGTAAATATTCCGCAACAACCTGGGGCGAAGCAGTAGTAGGGGAAGCGATCCCTCTGACCCGACAATAACATTCAAATTTCTTCCACTTATCATCATACAAAGAACGTGTAGACTGCAGTGATAGCAGTAATAGCTGAGGCCACTCTGTGAGAATAACCTTTGGCTATTAGTGCTTTCTGCAAATGTGCCATACGTGAAGATTGAACGTCTGTGCTGACTCGTGATAGTAGGTCGTCCCGCACGGGAAGAGGAATGCTGCTTCGACTGGCTAGACTTTTTAGGGCGACGAACCAGCTCCCGCCGGCCAAAAGGGCGCTACCAAAAGCAGTTGTACTTTGTTGGTTAACAGAACTTTCTGAATGACCTTGTGAAGTAGAGCCGGAGGCGGAAATGCATATGCGTTGAGACCTTCCCCTGGGAATGGCCAAGGCATCGTGATCCCAAGCTAGTGGATCTGGAATTGGAGACACAAATCTCGGCAGTTGGGAGTTGAACCGAGTGGCAAACAGGTCGACACTTGGTCGATGGAGCGGGTAAATTATCATCCGAAAAATCTTGGGCAGGAGTTGCCACTCTGTGGGCGACAGGCAACTGGAATGAGACAGAGCGTCGGCAATCACGTTCTTTGTTCCAGGGATGTGCCTGGCTCTTGCTACGATGTTGAGAGAATCTATCAGAAGATAAAATCGAAACGTCCACTGTAGAAGTGCTGCTGAACCCGTCGACCCTAGGTGATTGATGTACCACACTACCGTCGAGTTGTCGGACTGTATCAGCAAGTGAGACATCTTGAGAAGAGACGCCCAGTGCTGAATTGCCAGTAATACTGCTTTGAACTCCAGAATGTTTATGTGGAGTGACTTGTCTTCGGACGACCACTGCCCTGCCACTTGATGCTGAAAGAAGTGGGCGCCCCAACCTTCGAGAGAAGCGTCCACAAACAACTGATGGGTTGGACTGAAGGGCACCAAAGAAACGCCATCGCAAACATTCTGTACGTTGAGCCACCAACGCAGAATTGGACGTAGTTCCCTGGGTAACCGAATCAACTCCTGAGGGTTGTTGGTTTGAAGATGAGGTCGCAGAAATAACTGAAGCGGGCGAAGCTGCAGCTGACCTCTGTAAGTCAGAGCCTGAGCTGACGTTAAGACGCCCAGCAACTCCTGCCACTGGCGTAGAGTTCTGGGGTGATCCAAGGCTAGCGGAACCAGAC